ACAGTCATCATGACGCGCATCTTCTGCATCTCGAATCGGGTCTAACGGGACACTTGAAACGTATATAAAAACAGATAAGGATGAGCACCGTGATGATGATGAGATGATGATGATGATGATGATGATGATGATGATGATGATGATGATGATGATGAACTGACATGATATTCATCATGACGCATCCTCAGCATCACCAGCAATCATCATGATAATCAAGGACGACCACCACGCCGATGATGATGATGATGATGATGATGATGATGTTGAATCTTCGGTTATGCTCATTTACCAGCCAGCCTTGGACTTGTAACCGCCCTTCCCGTACGCCTCCCCCTTTGAGGAGAAGGGGTCGGCGGATATTAATATTTGTAATTAATATTTTTTTGGTAATTATTAAATTAATAATATTGTTGTATGTGCTTTTTTAGATTGATTTTCTTAAAAAATCCCGGATATAGGGTTTGTGTTTGTGGTTGTGTGATTGTGTATTTGTTTTTGTTTTTAAGTTGTCTTTGTTTTATTTGTTGATTGTTACTGTTTTTTTTATCTTGTTATTTGTTTGTTTGCATAGGCTAATTTATATGAATTTATATAATTTAATAAATATTATATAGGTTAATTATTGCGAATCATCGAGAGAATTAAGAAAATTTTGATGGATTTTGGAGGATATTATATTTATGTGTTTATAATATTTAAAAGCAAAATTTGAAATATTTGAGATTAGAAAAATAATTTTTTAGAGGAGCGGAGTAGCTTGTTTCATAAGCTTGTTGTGGAACGAACATATTTATAAAGGATTTTTTCTGGGAAATTAGAAAAATAATTTATTTAAACATTTTATTATTATTTTGGTTGAAATATTGCACATGTTTTGCGAGAGTTTGGCGATTTAAGAATCGATTATTATGATTAACGGTGTTTTTCTTAATATTTTAAACGAAATCAGTTCGGGTTTGTTTGCATCTAAGATGTTTTCTGGTTGATGGTGTTCTCGTGTGCATTGTAACAATTACGTATAGGGATGGATCTTTTGAGGTTAACAGCCCATAGATCCATTCTCCCCTTGTTTAGGCGACCGCCTTTTACTGAGTACATGTGCGCACGCTGATTTGTGCATCGTAGTGTTTTAGGAAGTATATTGAGGTGCTACTAAGAAGTTCTATCTATAATTTGTCTTTAGATATTTGGGTCTTTAGAATTGGGTCTTTAGTTCAATGTAATACACAATCTTTCGAAATGTTTTAGGTAGGATCCAAGATAAAGGCTCAAAATCGTAGTTACCCATTCTCTCAAAACCGCTTTTCGTCAAGCACTTGCTCGGTCTGCCTGTTTCTGTCTCTATAAATAAAACTATATATGTATATATTTATTTATGATTATTAATTAATAGGTTTTTATTTCGTGCTCTGCTTTTGTTACTCTCTTACCATGGGCTTCATCTCGCACGCTACAAGAAAGCAGCGGGCCCCCACTAATATATATATATATATAAATATATTAAAAAATTGAAATATATATTTAAAGAATATAAAAATAAATAAATCTTAATTAATATAATTAAATTATTATTAGGATTATTTAATAATATTTTATAATACTATAATATTATATTTAATAATATGTTTATTAAAATTATGTTTTATTATTTATAATAATTCTTAAACATATTTATGGAGTATAATTTTATGTTTTATTTTAATATTTATATTTAGTATTTTCGGTAAATATTTAATAATAATATAAATAAATATTATATATATATATTTATATGTATTAATATATTAAAATATAAATTTAAAGAATATTTATATAAAAAAATAAATCTTAATTAGTATAATCAATCTATTTTTATGATTATTTAATAATATTTTATAATAATATTATATAATATTATATTATATTATTATATCTATTAAAATTATGTTTTATTGTTTGTAATCATTCTTAATAACTAGTAGGGGCCCGCTATCTTCTAGCAGCGTGCGAGATGAAGTCCATAGTAAGAGACAAAGCATAAAATAAAACACATTCCAATTGAACAATTATAGACATAGACACAAACACAGACAGAGACAAACACAAATAGACACAGACAGACACAAACAGACACAAACACAAACAAACAGACACAGACAAACAGACAGACAAAGAAACAAATACCAGAGACAGAGAGAGCAACAGACAAAGAGAGACAGAGAAAGACACCGACAAAGAGACAGAGACCAAAAGACACACGCCTCCGGCGCGCAGTGCGCCGGATTCTGATGTCGACATGCCACAGGCCTCGCCTACGTACGTGCGCGCGTCCGACTCCGAGCCCGAGAACCGTGATGCAGACGGGCTACAAGAACGCGTGCGCGAGCTCTCGGCTGCGCGTGTCCCAGTTACACATGGCCGCTGGCCGCTTGTCCCCTAGCAACGGTTTGTCACGCGCTTTTCTCGGCGCTGCCCCGCCGCTCTCCTTGACCTCCACGACGGCTATATTCTGGCCCGCGGCCAGGAGGTGGTTGCAGGTTTTCGGCGGCCTCTTTTCCCAGTTTGGATTGGTAATTTGGATCGGTGTTTTGAAGATTAGGGGGTAGTTTCCCATTCAATTTCAACATGATCCAGGGGTTCAACCCCCAAATCACCAATCCAAACCAGCAATTAAAGGTAAGTTGAGGCGGGTGCCTAAAAAAGGCCGAGCTCTCAGGGGCACAGGGGCAAGGCCCAGGCCGTGGTGAGAAAATCTTATAGAGCCCGCGCCGGCAAAACATTTTTTGCAACTCAGCCATCATCTCATATATATCAAAAAATGTCTACTCGTTGCATGCGAAAAGCATGCTGCCGTTCTCCAAACACAGATCGCGAAACGCATTAAGGGCCGGGCTGGTCGCGATAGGGGTCGCCTGAGCAAGGTGAGAACGGATCCGCGGGCTGTTGGCCTCAAAAGATCCATACACGCAGTTGTTGCAAGCGCAAGCGAAAACGCGATCGACCAGAAAACATCCTGGGCGCAAGCAAAACCGAACTGATTTCGCCCAAAGCCGGCTCACAGCTTCTCGCATCGCCAAACTCTCGGAAGATGGGCCAAGATTTCAGCCAAAATTGCTACGGACAGGCAGATATATGCCCCGACTCTTTATCTGGAAAACACAACGGCTTCGTTCAAAGCCTGGACCATTTTTCCGAAATATCCCGGATATTTCGATAATCGCATTCCAAACCATTTTTCTGAAATATTCCAAATATCTCGACGACAGCATTTCCCGAAATATTTGGAATATTTCGGGAAAATAGTGCCCGAAATATTCGGAATATTTCGAGAAAATGGTGGATGGCTGCGATTCCCGGACCGTTTTCCCGAAATATCTGGAATATTTCGGGAAATTAGTCCCTACAAAAAAAAATGAAGCCCCTATGTCTTCCGCACATATGCCGGGGTAGCCCGGACAGATTTGGGCAAGCGGTCCGTAGGAAATATGAAGCGGTTACATCTTCCAGGGGCAGTCCAGACCAATTTTCCGAAATATCCGGGATTTTTCGGAAAAGCGGTCCGGGAAAACGCGCGCGAGTGCGACGAGCAAGTTTCACGGTTTCCCCTCCACCCCACCCCCATAAGGGAATTGAGGCGGAAGGATCCATGGCCTAGAAGATATATATATATATAATTTGTATATACTTACTACAGGTTATTCTTAAAATAAATTGTTATAAGGTATTATTAGGAATCCACATTCAACATTATATAAGATGAAATTTATTCTGATAAAACGATAGGGTTGGTTGGGGGTTAGTTTAGGGTTAGCTTAGGTGGGTTGAGGGTGGGTTTGGGTTGGTTTAAGATTAGTTTAGGGTGGGTATAGGATTAGGTTGGGTTGGTTTAGGATTAATTAAGAATTAATTTATAATAAATTTAGGGTGGGTTTTGGGTTGGTTTAGCATTGGTTTAAGGTTAATTTAGGGTTTGTTTGGGGTTCGGGTTAATTGTTGTGGGATTAGTTTAGGATTGGGGTTTGGGGTTAGTTGTGGGTTGAAGTATCTTATATGTTGGGATATATAGATACGAATTTAGGGATTCGAAATTGGGGTAAATAAATTTAAAATATAACAATAAAATAAATAATATGTTATAAATATTTATATATATATATTCATATAATATATCAAAATTATTATTATAATTAGGTTCATTCCGAAAAATAAAAATATAAATTTAAAACAAAATGGATATAAAACATAATAATAATAAATAAACAATATATACATACATAAAAATTATATTTTTAATAATCAAAATAAATATAATATCAAATCAAATAAAAATAAATCATATTTGCTAAACACAAACACCACATATCATCAAAAAATATTCGAAATATTTCAAGTTTCGTATTTTTTAAAATTTACAAATTAAATTACACATAAATCAAATATATAGGTTCGATTATATTATAAAAAATATTCAATATTTCAAATAAAAAAATATAATTAAATATTATATATAAATGCCTAATTATATAATATAATATATTTAATATAATATTTATTTTTTCTTTATTATTTAAAAATATATATATATATATTTATCTAATTATAAATCAATAATAAGTAAATTTAAATATTAAAACCATATCAATCAACATATTTAAATAAAAAAATAATATAAAAATCCCAAAATAATTTATAGATAAACAATAAATAATTTATATTCTTATAATATCCAATATATTTCTATTAATTTATATTTTAATTCATATTAAATAACAATTACACATCAAACCACAATATCAATATAAACTATAAGATTCACCATTACATAATAATAATAATAATAATACAAAACAATTATTATAACACATAAATAACATCAATTATAATTAATAAATACACAACATATCGTTAAAAAACATCGTGGATCCCAATAATTTGATATAAAATAGTAATAAGATATATTTTTTAATAATAATATAATAATATGAGTACATCTATGTTCTTTTGATTTTTATGTGTATTTTCATTCATGATTTTGCGTTGCAACAAGAAACGTTTCGCCTTTTTTGGAGCCTGCGCTCAGCAACCTTTCGAAAAAAAGTGGTCCGAAGTTGGGGGCTTCACATCAAAACAGTCGAGCTCAGCGTGATCGCGCGCGCAACGCGCTCTCAACGGCGCCGTTCTAAGTCTCAAAGATCGCACGGAAGACCTGGCGCAGCTCACCATGGGATGTAGGCCCAGGGGCCATGTTCCTTGAGGGGATCCCAGTCAAAAGTGATCTATGTGTATATATATATGGGTTTGTATTTTTTTAGGGTGGCCGGGCAGGAAGGTTTGAGTACGGGGTATGATTCGCAGGTATGATTCGCGGGTATGATTCGGGGTATGATTCGGGGGTATGATTCGCGGAAGCAGCAGCAGCAGTAGTAGTAGCAGTAGTTGCCGAAGTTGTAGAACTAGTAGTAATATTGTAGTAGTAACAAAAGTAGTAGTAGTAGTAGTAGTAGTAGTAGTAGTAATAATAGTAGTAGTGGTAGTAGTAGTTGTAGTAGTAGTGGTAGTAGTAGTAGTTAGTAGTAGTAGTAGTAGTAGTAGAAGTAGTAGTAGTAGTAGTAGTAGTAGTAGTAGTAGTAGTAGTAGTAGTAGTAGTAGTAGTAGTAGTGGTGGTGGTGGTGGTGGTGGTAGTAGTAGTGGTAGTTGTTGTTGTTGTAGTGTAGCAGTAGTAGTAGTAGTAGCAGTAGTAGGAGTACTAGTGAATAGTAGTAGCAGTAGTCCTAGTGGTAGTAGTAGTAGTAGTAGTAGTAGTAGTACTAGTAGTCGTAGTAGTAGTAGTAGTAGTACTATTAAGAGTAGAAGCAGCGACTGTAGTGGCGCGGAAGCTTTGAAAAGACTTGGCGCTGGCCTTGGCAAGGCAAGTTCATTGCGCGGGTATGATTCGGGTATGATTCGCGGATATGATTCGGCTAGGTGCAAAACGGCACTGATCACAAACTCGTAGTAGCTGTGGTGGTAGTAGTAGTAGTAGTAGGTGTAGCAGTAGTAGTGGTAGTAGTAGTAGTAGTGGTGGTAGTAGTGGTGGCAGTTGCAGAAGTAGTGGTAGCAGCTGTAGCATAAGCAGCAGCGGCTGTAGTGGTGCGGACGCTGTGAAAAAGACTTAGCACTAGCCTTGGCAGGGGAAGCTCATTGTCCAGGTATGATTCGGGTATGATTCGCGGGTATGATTCGGCTAGGTGCAAAACGGCACTGATTACAGACTCAGAATGATGTATGTGGTAGTAGTGAGTAGTAGCAGCAGCAGCAGCAGAAGCAGGAATAGTAGTAGTAGAAGTAGTAGTAGTAGTAGCAGTAGCAGTAGTAGTAGTAGTAGTAGTCAAGGTAGCAGTAGTAATAAAGGTAGTAGTCGTAGTAGTAGTAGTAGTAGTAGTAGTAGTAGTAGTGGTCAAGGTTGTAGTCGTAGTAGTTAGTAGAAAGGGTAGCAGAAGCAGAAGTAGAAGCAGTAGAGTAGTAGTAGCAGCGGTAGTAGCGGTGGTAGTGGTAGTAATACTCGTAGTCGCGGTAGTAGCAGTAGTAGTAGTAGTAGTAGTAGTAGTAGTAGTAGTAGTAGTAGTAGTAGTAGTGGTAGTAGCAGTAGTAGTAGTAATTGGAGTAGTTGTAGTAGTAGTAGTAGTTGTTGTAGTAGTAGTAGTAGTAGTGGCAGTGGCAGTGGTAGTATTGGGTAGCGCTGGTGGTGGTTCTTGTGGAGACAGTGAACAACACAAAACGGTAGAAGAACAGTAGCATCTTGCAGCATACGTTTTAAGGGGTATGATTCGGGGGTATGATTCGGGGTATGATTCGGGGGTATGATTCGGGGGTATGATTCGGGGAGGTCCCACCTTCTGCCTCTTGAAGCAACTCAACACACCAAAAAAGGACAAACCCATATATATATATATATATAAGATTTAGGGATGACCCGCTTTGCATCCCCGAAAGATATATTTCCCACTAGCATGACTTTCTCAAGGAAAGAAGGGTAAAGCAACCAAACATCTGAATGCCTGCCCATCTACTTGTGATCTCACAAAACCTCACGGGGAAAATCGTAGAAGGACGCAACACTCAGAGCTGCCCTCTTGACCTTCCCAAGTCCGAATCAGGCCTGCTTTCTTTGGCCTGTCCTGCATCTTGGGGCGAGCCGACTTCCTTGTGAAACTGTCGCCGTCCGGCCTTCTCAACCTTGTCTCCGCTGTCCATGGTGTCCAAGATATCCTCCACGGAACCGATTGAACGCACTCGTGGTATTGAGGCAATTCTGGGGCACAAAGAATAATTGGGGGGCTGGCTATTGAGGTCCCCGTGCCAACAAAACCATTGGCTTGATTGCCTGCCTGGAATTCAACACTCCGAAACACCGCAGACAGAGTGGGCACGCATTGCTTGTGGCTGCCTCAGTTGCCCACAGGCGAATGCAGTGTAATGAAACCCCTGTCTATTGGAATAGTTGAAATGCAAGCCAAACGCATCCACAGCAGGAAACCTGTGTCACTCTGCCCAGGGAAAGGCGAATGAACCATCACTGGCAATGTATGGCATGAACAAATATCTTGGGGCATTTCCTCAGGCAGAGCCATGTTCCAGCTGTTGCAACCAAACGTGTAGAACAACATGAGCACCCCCTCCCCCCCTCCTTTCGGAGTCTGTGGCGCAAGCACAGGGTGATGACCTGAGTCGAATTTGCTCCTCCTAAGCAAGCAACAACTCGAGGCTAGCCGCTTTATTCTGCACCAAGGCTAACATTGATGGCCAAATCAGAGTCCGCCCTAAAAGATCGTCAACCACTCAAGAAGCTCGTTTTTTGACCCTTGGCAGATTGAAAGCGGGGGGGCTTGAGCATTGAAGATTCTCCTCTTAAATGGGATACCCCTTATGAATCAACTGATCTAATCCGGGCTTCACGTTGCTCGAGGCCCTGCCTTTCCCACATCGTCGTCCGTCACCTCTTTGCGGCCATCGAAGGCGCAGTAGGCGCGCGCGGCCCTGTTCGTGACCTCAGAAATAGGGCGACAGTCGAACCAAACTGATGGCTTTCAATTTGGTTTCCCTTCTTCCCTTTGGAACCCTCAAGCACATCCGTTTCAACCTCGTGGCCTTCGAACTGTCACATGGCCCGTGAGTTTAGTTGAGATGGATGGGATCCTTAAAAGATGGCGATCCTTGTCAACCTTACAACACACTGCTTGTGAGCGAGAAGACCAGGACAAGCATGATAAACCCGGAGCAATGCACATTGACGTACGTTGGGGGGCATCTTCCTGAAGGCATGGGCTGACGGACAAGGTTCTCATGATACCAATCCTTAAGCAACCTCCAACCTACTTTCATGTTATCTGCCGGAAGGCGTCTCGCAAGTTATGATTCTATTGAAGGACTATCAGTCAGGTTCCGTGCTGACAAGTGGGAAATGGTGGAAGGTGGATTGCTTCCGTCCTTGTCCTTGCGTGTGCTTGCTTCTCGTTTGGCTGACATGCCCCGTGAATCCCCGCGCCCGTTCCCAATCAGGCACAAACTGATGCAAAAGCGAGACACCCAGCATGCGAGCGCAATCAAATTGCAGAGGCGTTCCCATGTCAAAACCCCATCATCCTTGCATGAGAACCTTGGTATTTAACTGCGGCTCAAAAGGCTTCCGCCGCTCAAAAGCCAGGCGGATCGACACACTGCTGACGACTGCCTCTGTTTTTGCACACTGACAGAACTGCACTGAGCCACAAAAACGGCCATACTTGGAACGTTTGAGGAGTGGCAGTATGAGTATCAGTATGAGTTGAAGTTTCCTCCATTGGCATGAAGCTTTCGCCAACTAGCGGACAAGTTCGATCCCAAGGCCAGAATTTCAAGCCACGAATGGATTATATGGGTCTTATTTGCCAAGTTGAAAAGGCGCGTGCCACACATTGAACACACGGGCAACACCACTGGCCCTGTGCCGCATGGATGCCCGCCGTCAAGCCTCACAGCATGTCCCTCATGCCTGTTGCACCATGCAGCGCTCAGTTTGGGGGTCTTGTCTTGGAAGGTATGCGCTATGGCATGATACATGCTATATGATGACCCTGCACAACATGATAGCCACAAACTGTTGCAGGGAATGTCTTGGTCAGGCCCCCAAGGCAGCAGCGATATCGCCGCGCAGTCCGTCGATGTTGAGCTCACTGCAAACCTGCAAGGCAGCAAAGCAACAATTTAACTGCCGCCGCGGTTCTCTTTGTGGTGCGACCGTTCGCATGGCCAAGACACCAACCCCTGCTACCGTCGCTCGAAATGGCCTGGGAGATCTGCCGCGCAATCTCCGGGGACGTCTTCACCTCGGGGGTCACACTCAAGGTTTGACAACTCAAATTGGAAGCAAACGACGGCACCGGTTGAGACTGTCACTTGCCCGGGCTTTGATTGTGATTCACATGTGCTGTGAAACTCCGGGGTCTTTGATTCCACTAGTCTCATGGCACTTTGGCCGTGATTTCATGAAGGGGATGGCAGTTCTGTTGTTGAGTAGCCCATAGCAACCTCTAAGTTCCTTGATTGCTGACACGGCCTCATGCACAACACGTTGCTTCGACCGTCACGCATACGAGCAGCACCTCACTGACTTGGGGCAGTACCCTGACAACAATCTGCATAAAAGCGCGTCAAAACGTTCCTTTCAGTGAATCAAATCCAGCCCATGTCCCTGCCTCCTTGAGTCGGCCCTGCGCCTGGGGTGAAGGCACGGGACTGAGAAAACGGGGCCAAAAGGGAAACCCTGATGGCCACATTTCATGCCAGGGGTGCAGCTGACCGTCTTGAACCCCCCAAAACGTCGGCTCGCCGTTGCGGTTCCAAAGGGGTTTGGCCTGGCAATTTTAGGATGCTCCACAAAACGGCCCTTGGCAACTTTCCTTGTCATGGATGGCATAAGGGTGTGGGGTGAAAAAGGAGACCCCAAGATGGGAGGTTTCCTTTGGGTACCCTCAAACCAAGCCATGCATAAACACACACACAG